AAAAAAAACCAAACAAACAAACAAACAAACAAACAAAACAAACAAAGTTTATATTTAACTCAACTTTGACCCAACCCCACTATATTCAATATTACTAATATAATTAAATAAAAGTAACCAATCATTCTTACATATCACATCAACTTTAATTCACGATTCATCCACTCACATAATTTTAACTAACCGTCACTTCCAATAATTTTTCTCCTACTTTTACATCAAATCAACTTTTATTATTTTATTTTAAATAATATTTTAATTTAAACTTAGTTCCTACTAACAACTAAGCATCCCACCTTTTTTTAGTTTTCAAATTAAGTATGGTTAAAAACAAACCAATCAGGAAGTGATGATTGTGAAATCAACTGAGCTAAACCTAATGGGTAGTATTTGTATATGTATTTATTTGTATATAATGTGATATGTAAAATCCAAAAAGGAAATTTCTCGTGATGCGGCAAAAGGAAAAGGATTAGGAAGTGATGATTGTGAGCATGCAAAGTAGGCGATGGAGAAAATTAGCTACACCAGCCAAATGATCGAGAGCTAGCCGTCATTTTAAGGTTTTCAACTAACATTGACAAGTGAATATGAAGAATTCTTACGTTTTCCTCTCCCCGTGGAGCAAGTTCCTCTTGAGCAAACTCAAGAGCTTCTTCTACTTTCCCATTTCGGATCAATTCTATCAAACGCTGCTGTTGGAGATGGAAATAGAGTTGAGGGTTTGTGTCCAGTATCTGCACGCAACATACTCAGAGTTTACTGTCACGTCATAATAATAGACAACAACGTACTAAATCAACTGATAACTAAAGTCACTAATCCAAGTCTTCTAGATCATAGGTAACCCATTTCTCCTTATTCAACCACTACACACAAGTTAAAAAAAAAAAAAAATATGACTGTACCTCCGGGTTCAAATCATTAACTTTTTCGATAGCATCCTCCACGTTGCCACTCTGTACTGCCTTCTTAACTGCCATACGGTCGCTGATTGTAGCGAGATCTATATCTGCTATTTTCTAATAAGGAAATTTCAATAAATGCCTAAATTGTATGCAAGTCGAAAATTTTCAGCAGGGCAAATGGAAAACCCAAAATAGGATACGCTCTGTCCCGGATTCGAGTCGAAATTTTTCAGCAGCCTCTACATAACCCTCTGTAACCAGAAAGTTCATAACCAATTTGTTCATATCTTCCTTTCTAACTTTAACATCATTGAGCTTCTTCTCCCACTCGGCCCTGGTTATAACTTTCTTCGACGTGGCCTGTAACAGTAAACCATGAAGATGACTGCCAATTGTACAACTAAACCGCACAACAAACCCATGAAAGAGGAACCCCAATAATTCATCGGAAATTAGCAAAAAAGCACAAGCTCGTGATGCTCACATATCAAATTGAACAAAATTGTAGTGTGAATAAATATGATCATCACCATCCTCAAATTTCAACAGAAATCTGGTGACATCAAGAAAAACAAAATGCCCATAAGGAGAAACCTCGTGCGACGAACTAAAATACAACACAAAAATCTCAGCCCAAAAAAGCATTGATCGGGGGCTACAAAAGCTCATCAATTTTCACGAACCAATCAATTGATTTACACTCAAATAGAAAAATTGCAGTGTGAATATGACCATCATCAACCTCAAATTTCTACATAAACCTTCTTTCCCGACTAGTGACATCAAGAAAATCAAATTGACCACAAGGAGTAACATCATTGGATAAACTAAAATAACACAAAAAATCTCAGCCCACAAAAGCATCAATTGTGCGCTACACAATCTCATCATTTTTCTACAAACCCATCAATTGAATTACACTGAAATAGACCAATCGAAGTGCAAATATGGTCATCATCAACCTCAAATTTCTGCAGAAATCTTCTTTCCCGACTAGTGATAACAAGATAATCAAATTGACCCTGAAAATAAACCTCATGGGACGAACTAAAATTCAGAAAACAATCTCAGCCCATACATGCATCGATCGTGGGCTACACAAGCTCACCAATTTTCACAAAGTCATCAATTGATTTACACTCAAATAGATTAAAAAAGAAAAAAAAAATATACGAGTAGCTACATGAATGTGCCAATGCCATGAACTAAACCCTAAACACTACACTCAGAAAATTGTACAAGCTCATCAATTTTCACGAACCCATCAATTGATTTACACTCAAATAGATAAAAAAAAACAAATGGTTACCATGAATGTGCCATGAATTAACCCTAAACAATACACTCACAGTGTCTCAAGCTCATCAATTTTCACGAACCCACCAATTGATTTAAACCCAAATAGATAAAAAGCGAGTATCTATCATGAACGTGCTATGAATTTACACCCTAAATACTATACTCAGAAAATTGTGCCGGCTGAGCGAGAGGCGCTTACCATAGCTTGGGCTTCAGCTGGTCGGCGATTTACAGTGCAGAAAATCAGTATCCGCCGTACGACGCCTCAAGCGCAAATAAAAAGCAGCTGAATTTCAACTGTAAAAGATAGTCAATCTGTTTGATTTACTGCGAGATAAACAAAAATGGGGGAAAAGATGAAAGCATTGGACAGTTCTGATGCAGTAGTGAATAGTGATTCTTGTTTATCTTGGACTCTTGAAATAAAGCTTTTTAATAATAATAATAATAATAATAATAATAATAAT